CTGTGCCTTATAAATTATACGATAAATCCAAATAAAACGTGATATCCATACATACAAAAGAGAAGAAAACAGATTTCTGAATAATGTAATTTCAATCAAATCAAACTTGCTATCGACGGACAAAAACAGATTTACGCCGCATAATATGTGAACATTGCCTTCAGCTTTAGGTAGTTTGTACAATGCTCTTTTCTCGTGTTTCCTGCCAGTTTATGAACACATATGAGCGCGTGTCATTTAGGCACATTACACGGTGTATCGCATTTACTAATGCGGGCTTTTCACAAGGGAAAGTGGGTTAAGTCAAGCAGAAAGTGATATAGGGACAGACAGGCAAATTTCCCTCTGTCTCATCAAGTTGCTCTTGCAAACATGACGTCCTTATTCCTGGTACTCTAATTGATCTCAACTACCCGGGTCTCGCAGCGGAGCCAATCCCCGATGCCTATCTGGCTAATCTTCTACCCCTCTTGAGTTTATCTCCTAAAGAAAACTGCTATTGTTGACAGGGATCACATACTGTTTTCTTCACTGAAGCGAATCTTGACGTTTAACTTCATTGTTAGACACCGCCATATTGGAAACCTTCGCTCCGCCGTGTTATTCTAATTGTCCCGATTTGTGCCGACCAATGAGAGACCCGCTTCTATCGCATACACGATCGACGATGATTGGAGAGGCGTGGTGTACTGGAGGATTCCTCTTTCATTAATCCGATTAGCTTTTGTGTTTGGCCAATCAGTGATTTTGCTTGAAGTTGTCACTCGTTTAATCCAGGGACACTTATTATTTTGTGATTATCACCGCAAATGGTAGATGAAGTCAGCCATTGACGAAACCACTAACGTGCGCTCATGTTGATTTAGATACACACCTTTCATCCTGCAGCAAGCACACTCTCGAATTTCACGTGGCTCGCCATTAGTTTGTGTCACCCCTTTTGAAGAAAGGACGTGAGTTTAGAGAGTACTGACCGGTATATATTTATCCTCTCTACTGCCTTGTTTACCAGTCGTTTGTCCGCTGGGAAACGGAACAATCGACATTAAGCAGACGACACTTAATATAACAAGAATACACTTGAAATATTTTTTCAATGAAATTATTTCATTGAAAGTTCTCCTGGTGTCCGGGAAGCCTTCTTGGAATTCAAAGTGTGAAACAAGAAAACTTCAAGCATGTCCGAGGAGCAACCAAGGCCGAAAAGTCCGGTGTCTGTTCCGCCCAAGTCGTCATTTTCTATCAGCAGTATCCTCGGAAATGATAGCGACAAAAAAGAGGACAAACCACTGGAAGCAGAAGACAAAACCAAAGAAACAAAGGATGCTGTGATTTCTAGTATATCCGACATTTATGCCAAATATCAAGCTTACTCGGACGCCGCCCTCACTGCACGTGCAAGTTCCTTCAACTTCTGGTACCCGTGGTATTCGTCATTCGTCCATTCACAAGCAGACGTCAATGGTACGTATAATAAGTAACATCTTAAATAGCATTAAAAGCGGAATTGGAATAATATTTTTACCTAAATATGCGTTGTTGTGTTCGTAGAAAAATTGTTCACGTTTATTATAGGGTCTTTTTAAATATGAATAACAGTTTGATTGGAGACAAATAGCAGTTGATCAATTAATTTCCAAGATGAGAGGGTTTTCATTCAGTGTATTTCCCCACGGCTGGTTGAAGGGAGGTCGTCACTTCAGCTCAAGACCTTTAACATTATACAATCTATTTTAGACTAACACCATCAGATCCAGAGAGCGAAAATACTTTCAAACAATGTATATTTTGTCAAGTTCTCCTCACAAATCTAAATAAATAAATAAATAAATAAATGAACTGCCACATCATATCGCAGAAAATTAGTTAAAACAAATAGTTGATAAATTTGATCTAAAAACTTGCAGCAATTTACGAATATCTACATGGCATTTCTTCAGGAAGACTTGCATGTACACCTATTGTTTTCACTTACAAAATACTTATGAAAAAATGTTTCTGAAAGGACTTACCATTTGAAAACGTTAACATTTCCTTATATAAGAGATGAAGCATATGTTAACTGAAAGAAAGAGAACGACAATGTAATATATATACAATGACTATTATATTAACATTTCTGAATGTAGCTGCCCCATCTAGCTGTATTTGTACTCGGGAAATAGTTCTGGGGTTACGGGTTATTTGATTGATAATTATCAGTTTCTCTATGATAAAATATAACACTGTCGAAACTCGACAGAAAGAGAAATATCAACAATTTAGTATTTTTCATTTGAACTGGTATGCTCAGCTATTCATAAAAATATTTTTTCCAAACTTTATCGAAGAATAGTAATCAGTCGACAATAAATATAATTGTATGCTGCATGTTTATAACTATATCATCGTGAGTTTAGTCCCAGGTTTAAAGTGATGTACATGTTGTCAAGTGCTCTAAATAAACCGCGCCTTGCTCTAAAAAGACGATATACTTGTCATGGTAAATCATGCAAACTCTTCTTGTCGCTAGTTTCTTCACGGAATATTCACTCCTAAACTAACACCTGAGTCTTCCGTTCTGCAATGCCAAAGGAGCCTTGAAAAATATCAGGAATTCACGGGCTGTTTTAGTTAAAGCTTATCTAAATAAAAACGGCCTTGTGTTTCTGAACCGTTTTAACGAAAAAAGCTGAATAATAGTAAAAGGGACCTGACACCTACGGACATCACTAGATAATTCTGCAACACATTCAAGAGTGAAGCGGAAAACAGAGTACGGATAAAAACGAGTCTAATAATGCAAACAGTTATATATTATTTATGTAACCTTTTTCTGTGATCATATTCTTGTACTCAAAGAAAACGCTTCATAAGGCAAAAGAGCATATTATTTTATGACAGACAATAAGTAAATATGCTAAACATATTTCTTACACAAACTACCCCTTCTAAAATATCGACGTTGACGCGGCGGAATTTTTAAAAGTAGTATTGCACCTAGTGTTTCCTTGGAGATGCCTGCAAGACACATCAAAATGTAATTTACAGATGGTTTCGTATATTCTTTATTCTATTTTATGTGAACATATCTGTTTTGTTCATATTGTCTAACCACATATAATTAAATAGTAAATAAAACCCCCTGATGTATCATATAAAATAGAATTATTCCAATAAATAATCAGCAGTGTAAAGTATCCTTTCTAACTCATTTTAATTTGTGTTCGTGTAGAAAAACGAGATATGTTTGCGGCTGACCACTTCTTCCGGTGATTAATAACAATTCACAACAAGCTTATCATGCGATTAATATATATTATGTGGTTATGAAATTATCTAATCTTAACGGAAACTTTGATTTCATTAACAAGATGCTGCTTTAGTTGAAACACTTCGCCTGTTTTTGTCGATTGACTTATTACAGGTTTGATGGTAAAATCAAATCAATTTAATTTTCAGTTTTCACCATAACTAACAGAATATTTTTTCTCAAAATAGAACATTTATGTGTGGAATAGTCAGGTAAATATTTTGTAATCTATTGAGATGGGGATATCTATACCTTTATAACACAAATGCTCCTGTCCGTGATAGATATCAACTCCTAATTCACCATCTTGACGAGCATGCTGTCTTAAAGTGAGAAGTGGGAAAAAAGATCAAATCGTATTAGTTATTCCAAATTAAAAAAATTCTAAAGACTCAATAATCATAGAAAATAAATTTGGCCAATTAAATCAAATTTCAAAAAACGATTTTAAGTATCATGTGATGCATTGAATCGATCTTAAATAGATTTAACGAGTTTCAGTTTAAAAAAATATTTTCCATGACTCATTTCAGTTTGAGGTAAGGTTTGAAGGTGCTGTTGATATCACTGGCTTTTCAGCTTGAATGGAAATAGAAAATAAAATAACACCCAGTTGTGCGACATTGATATATTGAAATATAAGCATCATCTGTTATTTTAAAGGAAAACCTATAAATGTAAGTTAAAATTCTTAGATAGTACTTTCTCATATAAAAGTGAATTTAAGCATCGAAATGATCAATTATAACATATTTATTGTTGGGTTTATACAATGTATAGTGTTATCTCAGCACTTAAATGTTTTTCTAGTGTGATGACTGTTTAAAATATAATCAACACAATGGGTGATTGATAACAAAATGCTACGGTGTAGCTCATGAAAATTAAATCTAAATTTTTGCTTTTCAAATCATTGATGTATTTAAACGTAGATGCTATTTTATGACAACCTATGGTGATAGTAAGGGTCGCTGAGCGTTGTACGATACTTAGTGTGATATAACACCCAGTAAGTGGTGACACTGGATCCGGCATTCAGGGACTATACACTTCGGATCACAGTATCCAACTCGTTTCGGTTTCATTGCCATTTTGATGGAAGATACTATGACGCACTTGTTTCATTTGTTCATTGCGTTTTTCAACGTATTGCTGCATGATTATTTATTAATGATGAATGTGAACATACGGGTGAAAAATTATATTATCAAAATTAATTGTTATTCTGATCAGGAGTCAGTGTCCCTGGTGATGAGTTCATCTGATTCTTGTGGCAGATCGGGAAGTTCGATGCGTTCTTATTAGTTCACAAGAAGATTGATTGATTCTGTTGCCAGTATTTAATGATACAGGATATTGTGGATGATAGACAACATAAACTTATTAATAATCACTTCCCGATAAATACAATTTGATGCCTATTCTCAACGTTTATCTACAGTGAGATACTTGTCATATAAAAGGCCCGGTTGTCATATTAGCGACACAACAAAACTGTAAACTTCCAAAACTTCATCACCAAAGATAAGCTCAGTTAAATTCTCACGAGGCTAGAGAGGGAAATCTCTGTACGTCTTTCGCGATACAGTTCGTACTAATGCACCTTTTATAATTTTGCCATATCATCATTTTATATACCATTCAGTGAATGATGGAATCTTTAAGAATTCATTTAATTTCAAAAATTCAATTTCCAGCTAGTGCCGCAGCTAAACTACGAGCAGCTTCCCCGAGATGTCGCTCTCCCTTGCCCTCCCCTACAGGGATGAAGCCACTGCCCCTCAGGAAGAGTAGCGAGGGGTGTCCATCAGAGGACCCGCCTTCTCCCGGGCGGACATTGAAAGATGATGATTCTGAGGATGACGACGAAGAGAGGCCAATGAAAGAAGGTGAAAGTCAAAACAGCGAGGATGACGAAAAACGAAAACAGAGGAAGAAGAAAACAAGGACTGTTTTTTCTCGCAGCCAGGTTTTTCAGTTGGAATCAACATTTGACATGAAACGTTACCTCTCAAGTTCAGAGCGTGCCGGCCTAGCCGCATCGCTACATTTAACTGAAACCCAGGTGAAAATATGGTTCCAGAATAGGAGGAATAAGTGGAAACGGCAACTGGCAGCGGAAATGGAAGCAGCTAACATATCCCAGCGTGCCTCTCACCGGATGGTGCGTGTCCCAGTGCTCTATCATGACAGTAACTTCTCAGGGAGTAGGGCGGACAGTCTACATAGCGGCTCACCCCCTCTAACCTCCTCCCTGAATCCCCTGTGCTATCCCCACCCATACCCCTCAATCTCATCTCTCCGCTCTCTACACAGCGCGGTATGAAGTCAGCAGGCCTGATCCTCAATCCCCTTACGTCACGTGACGAAAGTGCTGGACGTTAAATGACGCCAGGGTCAATCTGATGGGGATTTTACGCAATTAACAAACTTATGACCAGAATAAACCTTGACTTTGAACTCAGGCGCCCGTGCCGCATGACTACATTTAAAACATGATTGCAATTGAGGAACCGGATGGTCACCAGAGGAAATTATTCACAGTTTATGATGGGTGCAAATAACAAACTGTTAATCTGTTTTAAACCCCGCATAGCGTCCCCCGTCGGTAGCTTCTGTGACCTGAAATCGGAAGCTTAATTGAAACGTTGGTGACACAATGCAGTACCGCAATACACGGCTGTAGTATACGACATTTATTTATTGTATTAGTACCCAGACACGTGTCTGTCTTCACCTGATGGAGGCTACCACACAGGCTCACTTGAAGCTGATGATGTTGCAAACACGGAGACGTTAGGGAAACAGTGTCTGTATGATGAAATTATTCGTAAGGAAAGTACTGTTGTTGTATATTTACATGGGATTGTTGTATATTAAATGTCAAAGTATAATAAAACATGCTTTGTATACTGAATGGTCTTTGTAGTTTTTATTTTGTGTCCAATTTCCATCTGTCTCCTAGGTGTATGAAAGTAGTGATTTTATTCCTCGAATTGCAAAGTTATAACCATTCTATGTTCAGAAACACATCGATACATCGGAAAGCACATGCATCTTTTCCTCTCTAGCCTGCCTAAGTACTATCCCTTACAGAAACAATTTTCTCAACATGTTGATTGCAACTCATGACCAAGGATATCAGGAGTTACGATTGTACATGATAAGGCAGTTATGTGGACAAGTGAGTGTGTGTGCGTGTGTGTGTGTGTGCGCGCGCGTGCGTATGTGAGTGCGTGCGTGTGCTTGTGTGGAATGTGTGTATGTGCTAGGATTGTACATGATGAAACAGTTGTGTGGACGGTTGTGTGCGTGCGTGCGCGCGCGTGTGTGCCTGTGCCTGTGTGTGGAATGTGTGTATGTGCAAGGCGATAGGATTGTACATGTTGGGGCAGTTTGACCAACAGTTGTGAGTGCTAGGTGTTAAGCTTGTACATGCTTAGACAGTTGTAAGTTGACCAACAGTTGTGAGTGCTAGGTGTTAAGCTTGTACATGCTTAGACAGTTGTAAGGACAATGGGTGTTAGTATTGCACATAAATCATTGTAAAGATAATTCTGTGTGGTAAATGTTAGTACTGTACATGCGTGTACGTGGTTGTAAGGACAGCTGTATGTGATATGCGTATGTTACTACATAAGTCGTGGTTAGAAAGCTCCATAAAATCCGTACAAAGACGGATATATCGCTGTGTCAAGCAAATGTGCAACTAAATCCTTGTCTCAAAGATGATCAAAATCCTTAAAGCAATCAGAGAGTAGAAACTATCTTAAACAAGTGGAATTAGTGTCATGTCGAATTTAACAAATTCAAAGAATTTGTGCAATTTCAAAAAGACACCCCCTCCCCATATTGGGAGGTAAGCCATTGAAGAGGTGGGCATCCCCATGGGTACATGTCTTTTCCCCCTCCTGCAGTTGAATTAGGCATTCTACTCGGACTGGCAAAATCAAATCAAGGAAACTTGGCCAAGATATCTTTTCCTACCAGATTAAGTATATTACTAGTTGGTTGTATATTACTAGTTGGTTGTATATTACTAGTTGGTTGTATATTACTAGTTGGTTGTATATTACTAGTTGGTTGTATATTACTAGTTGGTTGGACCTTTGCTTTCCTAAATGGTATATGATCAGATAAATTTTTATAAATGGCAAAAGATGCAGTTTATTTTCACTGATTTGTCCATCAGATCAGATTTAAATCAAAACAAAATATAACAGACACAAGACGGTTTGGCATGGAAGAAGTCGTCAATATCTTAGTTATTTTAATATTGCTAACAATATTACATGAGTAACAATATCAGCGTCCACATTTCACATCTTTGGGGGTTCAATCAAGCATGCTCTTTCCATGGAGATTTAGAAGAATCTCTGAGTAGCCAAGTGGTTCCACAGTTAGTTCGTCAGCCGAAGACCAATATTCTATTGCCGACATTTCTGACGTTCCCCTTCGTGATATTTGGGTATATCGCTAAAATGCATGCTCACTCGCTTTCTTACTCAAAGAGCACCATTCAACACTGAACACATTCCAACATCCAATGACTCAGCAAAACTTTAAACAAGGTTTTTGGAAGACATATTGAGGACATTGTGTTAAGCATGTTTCCTATTTAGATTTATACCATATGTTCAGGCGAACAGTTCCCATGCTACTGCAAATGTTTGTGACGGATGCATCCTGTGATTCAGGTTATATAACCTTTCCGCTATGTCCCGGTGTCATCCCTATTCCATATTGATTCAGAGACACAATCTGTGATGGAGGGAATCGTACAATGTGCTTCAAGCACAGGTAGACATGCATTATCTGTTCGTAAGGTCCTTTTGGCCGTAGAATTGTTCTATAGGTAGGATTTCCTCAAAGTAAACACAAAAGGTAATTTATAGTAATTTGGTTATTTTGCGTTGCTGTACATTCCAGGGGAGAGCTATGAGCACGAGCGCGAAATGTTTGTGTCATATGCTTGTAACGTAGCGACGACTGATGGTTGTAGGCACTCCCAACACGTTCATTATTCATAAGAACTGAACAAGATATTGATATATAATCCACTATCACCGTCAGTATGACGGACAACACGTCCTTAGCGCCAGACTTATCTGTTTTTAGCAAAGCCAGGATTAAACAAAGGTAATAAACTGACAGAACGTTTGCTATGTGAAATAAACCTTAACATATTTATGTAATCTGTGAATGAAATACATTAGTTCTAGAAGGACATGAAAACTATACTGTGAGAAATAATTCAATTCGATGTCGTTACTATAAAGTTTAAATGTTGTTTCTTTTGTTCGAAAACAATGCATAAATATCATCAGGGTCACTATACATCTTAAATATCTACTCGAACGGATCCAACGTTTAACTTAAAACAAAATAGGCAGTGGAACTGCTGTAACTGAAATGTCATATGAAAGTAAACACACACACATTATTTTTAAACATGTATAGAGTTATATCGATTGATAATGCAGGTTTTATGTACTTTCTGACATGGCAACACCTCGGACGAAGACGATATTACACGGGCACTAACACGACAACGTCAGCGTAACACACAAGTAGAAGAACTTGCTTGAAGCAGTGCCATCATGATTCAAAATGAAACTCACGATGTACGTACTGCACATGGGTTCTTGGGTAACATTTAGATTTCTATAGCCCGTATCCAGTAGTCCTAAGCCACAAGATGAATGGTCGCTACTTCAAAGATATGACCTGTCCTAAAAAGGCGACATCATTGTTAGGTCTCACCATTAAATTACATATCCTATAAGAAATTATCTTACTCCTAAAATGACCTGTCCCAGTCAGAGAATGGACATTCATTACATGTCCTGTAGGACGATATCTCACTCTGCAATGACATGAACTCTGCAATCACTCTGAATATCCTGAAAGACCTCGACACACAAATGACCTGTTCTCCTTGACATTAACCCGGCCCAAAGATGGTATGTGCCATTTGATGTTATCTCACTCTGAAATGACATGTCCTGTAGGACGTCATCTCACTCTGAAATGACATGACCTGTAGGACGTTATCTCACTCCACACTGACATGACATGTAGGACGTTATCTCACTCCACACTGACATGACTTGTAGGACGTTATCTCATTCCACACTGACATGATCTGTAGGACGTTATCTCGCCCTGCAAATGACGTTATCTCACTCTGCAATGGCATCAACTGTAGGACGTTATCTCACTCTGCAATGACATCAACTGTAGGACGTTATCTCACTCTGCAATGACATGATCTGTAGTACGATATCTTACTTTGCAATGACATGATCTGTAGGACGTTATCTCACTCTGCACTGACATGACCTGTAGGACGTTATCTCACTCTGCACTGACATGATCTGTAGGACGTTATCTCACTCTGCACTGACATGATCTGTAGGACGTTATCTCACTCTGCACTGACATTACCTGTAGGACGTTATCTCACTCTGCACTGACATGACCTGTAGGACGTTATCTCACTCTGCAATGACATGACCTGTAGGACGTTCTCTCACTCTGCACTGACATGACCTGTAGGACGTTATCTCACTCTGCACTAACATGACCTGTAGGACGTTATCTCACTCTGCAATGACATTACCCGTAGGACGTTCTCTCACTCTGCACTGACATGATCTGTAGGACGTTATCTCACTCTGCAATGACATGATCTGTAGGACGTTATTTCACTCTGCAATGACATTACCTGTAGGACGTTATCTCACTCTGCACTGACATGACCTGTAGGACGTTATCTCTCTCTGCACTGACATGACTTGTAGGGCGTTATCTCACTCTGCACTGACATGACCTGTAGGACGTTATCTCACTCTGCACTGACATCACCTGAAGGACGTTATCTCACTCTGCACTAACATGACCTGTAGGACGTTATCTCACTCTGCAATGACATGACCTGTAAGACGTTATCTCACTCTGCACTGACATAACATGTAGGACGTTATCTCACTCCACACTGACATGACCTGTATGACGTTATCTCACTCTGCACTAACATGACCTGTAGGACGTTATCTTCCTCGGCACTAACATGACCTGTGGGGCGTTATCTCACTCTGCACTGACATAACCTGTAGGACGTTATCTCACTCTTCACTGACATGACTTGTAGGACGTTATCTCACTCTGCACTAACATGACCTGTAGGACGTTATCTCACTCAGCACTGACATAACCTGTAGGACGTTATCTCACTCCACACTGACATGACCTGTAAGACGCTATCTTCCTCGGCAATGACATGATCTGTAGGACGTTATCTCACTCTGCACTGACTAGACCTGAAGGACGTTATCTCACTCTGCACTGACATGACCTGTAGGACGTTATCTCACTCTGCACTGACATGACCTGAAGGACGTTATCTCACTCTGCACTGACATGATCTGTAGGACGTTATCTCACTCTGCACTGACATTACCTGTAGGACGTTATCTCACTCTGCACTGACACCTGACGTTATCTGACCTGTAGGACGTTATCTCACTCTGCACTGACATGACCTGTAGGACGTTATCTCACTCTGCACTGACATGACCTGTAGGACGTTATCTCACTCTGCACTGACATGACCTGTAGGACGTTATCTCACTAAGCAAGGACTGCACTGACATGACCTGTAGGACGTTATCTCACTCTGCACTGACATGACCTGTAGGACGTTATCTCACTCTGCACTGACATCACCTGTTACATGTTATCTCACTCTGCAATTACATGATCTGTAGGACGTTATCTCACTCTGCACTGACATGATCTGTAGGACGTTTTCTCACTTTGCACTGACATGACCTGTAGGACGTTATCTCACTCTGCACTGACATGAAAGATGTTACCTCGAGAGTAGAAGAATGGTATCGTGTATGATCATGGTGT